CCAGGCTTCAAATCCCACACACACACCCACAGCCCCCAACACCTTCACAAATAACACCCCACACCACACTTTAAAAAATAGTGTCTCATGATTTACGTGCCAATCTCTTGATTTTTTGACTTCGTCTCATTATTTTTGGCATGGTGGGGTTGGCAATACTGCTATTTTTAGTTGCTTTATAACTTTGTCATGCTTTAATGATCCAGGCTGAAATTTTTCATGCTTGATATCTGATTTGGGCTGAATTATTTTCAAAAAGTTCAGCAAAAATAACTATTTTTCAAGATAAATGGCCAGAATCCCTGATTCCTGGTGAAACGTGTGTGGAGTAAGACAGCCTATACAAAATATAATATATCATCATATATATCATGTCTGTTCTGAACAAATTTAATTTTAAGCATGATTAGTGAGACCATGGGATAATCTAAACCACATTTTATTCAACCACTTCAGAATTTTTACCTGGAGCCAGTGCATCATATTTTTAGTAGACGTTGAATCTGGGTAGTGGCCTATGTACACATCCATTCGACTCTGCAAGAAAACAGTTTTAGGACATTATTTTTTTCCTTAAATTGTTGTAGGAAGTCTAATTCTCCTTCAACAAAATATTGTTCAATTCAGTAGCAACAGAATTAAAAAAACAAACAAAAGAGAAAATCCTGATCTAGAAATCCATATTGCCAAAAGAACTGTAATGTTTTCAGAAATAAAATTTCTTTCATACCTGTCAGTTTCGAAGTCACTGCTCAACTACTCTTAAGGAAATAGCTATTAGAAACCATTATTAATTTAATTCTCTCTTTAGGTTTATACAAAGGTTTAATAAGCCTGTCCAATTATCATTTTGAATAGTACCTGATATATGCAGGCTGGCACCATTCCACTAAACATACCATCCTTTTTGCATGTATTGATCCCAGCTGCAGGATAGTGAGATTTACCATTTTCTCATCTGAGTACAAAGGAGGTGAGAGCTACTCTAAATAAACATGGTGATTAGCCATTGCCATTGTCTTACTTAGAGATGAACTTTCTTACCTCTAGTTAAGTCCTGTGCTGATATAATCAATGCCCAAAACAGGGCAAGGTTTTGGCTACCCTTCAAAACTGTTTCCCATAGCTGGTTGGGAAAGGTTCAACATGCCCAGTCTTAATTTCCATCCCATTTCACACAAAACATGGTAATCTGGTTGAAACAGAAAACTCATGCAACAGCTGCAAATGACTGGAATACTGTGATATATTAAAGTTAGTATATGTTAGGGTGGTGTCACAAATTCACTTGCAACAGTTGCCAATCATTGCAATGTAGTCACCTATTAAAGTTAGGATGCATTAAGGAGAGAATCCTCCCCTAAGAAGGAACAACTTAGTAATGCTAAAATGGTGCTTAATATGTGCTTAAGAGCTTGAGTATGCAACTGCTTCAATTTTAAATGTGCGAAATAAGCATTCTAACTTGAATGTGACACTGCTCTCAAATTCTAGTGCTGGGGTTCCAAGCCTCCATTAATCCAAACTATTGTATGTTTGCCCAGCTGGCTAGGCCTTTTCGCCCAAATTATTTTGAAATCTCCGTTCTTTATTCAGAATACTCCAGGCTACCAAGTCAATGACAACTCTGGTAAAAGGGTTCCCGTTGGCCTTTCAATGTTTTTCATAATGGAAAAATGAAAGAACATAGTTCCAAACTGTGTTTTTGTTAGAATACTGCTACCAGATACTACTTGTAAGTGACAGCAGTCACCTGTTGGAAAACTGGGGACTTTTGTCCCCACTTGTCAGGTATGCTCTAGCATCAATGGCCACCCAATCACTACACTATGCTAGAATCAGCATAGCATAGTGATCAGGTGGCCAGTGATGCTACTAATTTAGCACTATACTAGAATAAGCCCCACTGGGAGCCTATACATAAGTGTGGAGGCTGCTCTGATATGCTGGGATTCCAGCAGCCTGCTGTGTCTCATGTATCTGTCCCCCCAGGCTTAAAATTGGCAATAGGGACACCTGAACTAAAGCTTGTTTAATGAGCTTTAAAGCATCCCCACTGCAATTTTTAAGCCCAGGCTGTGATTTAATTAGAGCGGCTCTCAGAGCCCCTCTAATTAAAGCGCCCCCCCCCCCCCCCCCCCGCCGCACCTCAGAGCATGTGTGAAAGTGCCCAGTATTGCTACCCATCTGAATCTATTGAGCACCGTGTTATGGATACAGTATGCAATAGCCTCTCCTCCCATTGCCCTTGATACTTGTCCTATGGCAGACAATTATGAGGTAGAAACCAGTAACATTGAATAGTGAGCACTGTGACCCACACCTGCACAGTTGCAAAGAACATAGCTCCCATACCTGCACAATCCCACCATGGGACTTACGGGATACTGCTATTCCACCATGGGACTTACACCCTACTAGCACAAGCTATAAACTCCAAATTTGTCTTGAATAGTTGAATGCTGTGTTAGACATTTATACTTTGCTTAATAGACAGAGAAGGACATTTAACATGTTAACTACAAATAAAACAGTAGGAAACAGAGATCCTTAGTTAAACTGTCAATCATCAACTATTTCATGGGTGACTGGTGCCTCTTGATACTGGGGGGGGCACCAGTGGTTGATCGCTGACCAGGGGGGAGGGGAGCCAGCGGCTGACCACCAACCAGGGGTGGGGGACTGTCCCCCAGAGGCTGATCACTGCTGCCAGCAGAAGTGCTGCCGGCAAAACCAGAAGTGCCAGTGGCAAACCTGGAAGTGCTACCAGTGCTTCTCTCAGCACCCCCACATCTCAGGGTGGGCACTGGCCATTGCCTCCCACTCCCTGCCGGCGAGGGCCAATCTCGGGGGGGGGCACGTGCCCCCGCTACATGTTGCCTATGAGCTATGTTACTGAGTCACTTGCTTTCTCTATCCTCACTGTATTTGAAAGATAATCAAATATCTTTCATAATTCTTAAGCAATAAAAGAAGCCCATTTTATTCATTCCAGAGTAAATATGCATCCAATTATCATAAATGATAATATATTCATAATTAGTTTGATTCTAATTATCACTAAAAACAGGGGTTTATTTCATACACACACTTACCGTATTTAAGTTTTTCTCATTGTATCCACCCAAAAGGAAGAGAAAATTGGCACACAGTTTATTAATTAATGGATTACTGCATATATTAGCAGTAATCACTTTCCAATTCTTATTTCTTAGGTGGAAATCTTTTTTGCCAAACATATCCTGTTAAAAATGCAAAAGGTATTATTTATAGTAAGCAAAGGAACTTTTAGAATATATTTCTTTTTATTCCAATAGTTTTTACATGACTTAGGTCAGCCTTAGCTGACGGTTGTAATTACAAGAACTATACCTGTGTTTCCAATTCAGGTTTCCTGAATTGCACATGCCACAAAGTTCAAAGTTAAAACAGTCACTTTGTGAAATACTCACTTCATGCAAAGGGCAGAAGTGCATTTCTTTGCCCCATAGAAAACTATGCAAACGTATACATGAAAACGTATCAATATGGTAATATGAATGAGAAATGAGAAAACTCACATTCATATAATGCTCTTTGATCATTTTTTTCAAATTACAAAACCCACTATCTAATGCAGCTTTAAAGTTTCTAATCTACACATTCTCAAATCAGAAATTCAGTGGTTAAGAACTGAATGGGGCTCAATGAGGTGATATTCCAATGGAGGTGTTAAATTTAATGCTTTGGGTGTATTATAATAACTATGAAGACATATGTTTAACAAAGTAAATTATAACTAGAAATGCTGCTGTCCTTAGCACTGTGGCTAAATTAATTTTTAAAGAAAAATAAATTATTTATAGTAGACTTTTTTGCAGCATTTAATAGCTTGGAGCTCTTGTTCCTAAATAATACCTAATTTAAAAACCAAGTGTTTAGGAGAGATGTGGAATATGAAGTAAACTCATACCTGGAAAGTTGCATTAGGAAGAAGTGGCATTTTCAAGACAGGGCTTTTGGAGTTTTTAATTGTGACTACAGGAGCTAAGGCAAAAAACATTTTGACTTTTTGTGCCAGCTCTGGCATAGATGAAAATGCTATGAAACCTAAAAAATTAGAAGAGAATAATGATAGTAATCTTTTAAATAATTTTGGCATGTAAAAGATACAAATAATCAAAGACTTACAGCCCTTTGTTGAAATATTAATTGAATGAATGAAATGGACTCTGTATTGCTTTGTTTTAAAAGAAATCAATTCTAATATAGAATGAGGGCATTTGCATTCAGTTTAGGATGGCCCCTTATTATTCACCAGGAAAGGTGATATCATAAAATAAATTAGTGAGGGATTAACACCAAGGTTCAAATTACATTTCTTTGACTCTTGGGGGGAGGGGAAGGGGGTCTGCAAAAAAAAAATTGGGCTGCCCATTATGATACCCTAATAAAATCAGAGACCCTCCAGGTAATGATTTTCAAATCTTATAGGGGAGGGCTCTCATCTCTTATGAGGATGCTCAGTTCCCCCAAGCTTCCCCATAATTTGAATCCTGATTAACACAACAGTGTTAGGTGCTATGTGACAAGGCTGAGGCATGATCTGAACCAGAACAAATGGAAATAAAGCATCATTTCCAAAGTTGTCAACAAAAATGTTAGCTCACTCATTTTTTCAATCATTTTTAAATGAGTAAAGTTGAAAAGAGATTCTTTTAGAGTCATCAAATATGGTCCCAATATAATATACTTTAATGCTTATTTCTAGGGAGAAGCTTTGATTTTCCTTTCTTGTGAGTGATATGCTGCCCTGGAAGCTGACAAGAATAAAATCAATTGATAGAAATGAGTTGGGACAGTTGACTCATTTTCATATTTGAACTACATCAAGGCTGTACAAAATTGGTGTCCCCATGTGACCAACGTCAGATTAATTTGCTGCCCCTTGGCTCCTGCCCACTTTCAATCCCCAACACTGCTCCAGAGGCTGCTGCCATCAAGGTCTCCAGTCTCCCCTGCTTTTTTCCAGCTTCTACTTCCTGCTCCTGATCCTGAGGGTGTGTGGGAAGGTGGCACAGCCACAGGGCCCAGAATACCTGGGGCTTGCTGTGTGGGTACCAGAGCTGCAGCAAGGAACCCACATTGTATGGACTCAGGGGGCCCAGTGTCTGTGCAGGTACAGCCCTTGTGGCATGCTGCCCCCCAGCCACTCCAAAGCAGGACAGCCCTGGCCTTGATTATCCATTAGCATGGAAAAGAAAGCACCACTTATTTCTTCTTAAATCAAAATTCACATTTGGTGTAGAATCCCTTGACTTCCTATAGACAGTGAAAAAAGTTTTCCCAGCCAATGCATGGTAAAAAAATCTAGTTGCAACAATGGAGCTTAGAAGGAAGTGGAAGTCACCCACACCTTTCATGTTGTTTTAAGAAAATGGTTGGTCCTCTGTTCACTCACAAGCTCCAGGTTTTCAATAAGACTTTTAACTTGAGTCAAACCATGCTGGAAAGATTTCTGGGCTCAGTCTTTTATAAAAAACATTCACAATGATACACAAAGATGAGACTATTCTCTGCAATATTCTGCTTAAAAAACATAGGAATGGCCAAGTCATTAATGGTCCAAACAAAAGCCATCACTACTTAGAAGACATAAAATATGATGTTAATATAACAAATGATTTTAACCTACCGATAGTAGAGCCCTGAGAGTAACCCACATAATATATCTGCTTCAGCCCAGTTTTCTGCAGAATAAAGTTGATCATTGCTGGAAGGTCATATCTGGCCATTTCATGAAAACTACAACATAAAAATATTAAGTTAGATACATGGTGGAGTTAAAGAGCCAGATTCTGAAGTGCATCATGGAATCTTTGCACTAAGGTAACTCAAAGGAGTTGGAATCTGGTGGCAAATTTTCATTTGTTCCCATCAGATAGGAAACTACTGAATGCAACCGTATGGGATCCAGGTCTGTGCTTTTGGCCACCATCTTATCAGGCAACTCCCAGTTCACAGTGGTGGGGATGATTCACAATCAGCCATAGACTGAGAGGGTCTTGGGTAAGGAAAAAATGTCAACAGAGATTTCAGCCCATGTGCATTTCAATGCAATATCAATGAGCCCTGGGGCTGCAGTAAAGCCACCTAAACTACACAGTGCTTATTTTTGCCAGATCTGGTTCCAGGGCTTTGCTTCACTATAAAGTACACATTACATGTTTCTATTTGAACTTTCCAAATATTTATGTTTATTTGGAACTAGAAACTACATGATATTTGAATTAACATCAGCCCCTCTGCTCTTTCAACTCTGTTTCTGTGCCATCTTCTTCAGCAATGTCATTTAAAACATTTTACTCATTAGATCCACTTATGATAAAATCACTGAAGAAGTTTGTTAGAAAATTACTTGGATAGTTAAATAAAACACAAATTGATTACAGACAGGTGGAAAAAGCTTGACTGATATTGTCTGAACCTGCATTCCATACATTTTGAACCTGAGCTCCATTCTCTTCTTTCTCTCCCTTTGAAGCAAATGACTGCAAGGTACAAGGTACATGAAATTCTGGTGCTACTCTGAGCTCTGGGACTGATGTCCTTATCACATAGGACTGCAGTGATAGGAAGTTTTTAGTGCTCTCTCTTTGGTTCTACCTAGTTCAGAGTGTTTGATGAGCTGGAAGCAGCTACCACAGCAGTATGTTGTTATGGAACATGAATTGTCTTCACAATGACAGTTTACAGTATGAGGTTCTAATTAAAAGTTTTCCATGACACACAAAGTCTATTTTACTCCATGTCCGGTCCTGCAACTCTGACATTACTGAGATGAATGGAATTAGTGACTGGAGTAAGATAACAATTTCTCAATTATGCTTCTTCTTGGCTTGTAAGTGGGTTCCTTTTACAGATATATTATAGGGCATGCCAGTGGTTTGACATTAGTGCCAGGCTCTTGCACATATCGTGAATCGCTATTACTCTGAACTAATACCCAAGCTTTTGTTTGCATGAACAATTGATCAATCAAATGATCCATTTGAAAATACTGATCATGTACAGAGAGAATTGGCAATGGGCAAAACAATTTCCTAGATTCATTCATTTCCTAGCTTATAGAGGATAAATTCAGGCTAGATATAACAAAGAACTTTTTCTCTGTAAGGGTCACCAGAATCTGTAACACACTCCCAGCGGAGGTGGTGCAGTCACCATCCTTTGAGTTGTTCAAGGTGAGGCTGGACAGGTACCTTGCTGAGCTCGTCAGAGCCCAATAACTTCCTGTCCATGGCAGGGGACTGGACTTGATGATCTTACAGGTCCCTTCTAGTTCTATGATTCTATGATTCTTATCTACCTAGTTCAGCCTACCTGAAATCCCAAAATTCCTCTTGGTCAGTTGAAAAGTTCTGATGTCTTTTTGACCAGGTTGTCCCCCTGTTGTTTCCAATCCAAACATCATAGCCAGAGTCTGCTAATATGAAGCCCAAGCTGTTGTTGGCCAAATTTGAAACCCAGTTGCTACCTTCTCCAAAAATTCCATGCTGGAGAAGCACAGCGGGCTTTGGCTCTGAATAAGAAATAAATGGAAAATTTACTAAACCATAATTTCTGTAAAATAGTAGTAAAATAACATTCGCATTTCCTGAACTCATGATAATTGTCACAACCCAAAGGTGTGATTTTGTTTTTGTGTGTGCTTTGGCACCACTGAATTATTTTCCCGCCGTTTTGGAGCTTTCTTTGCAGGGTGCATTTCTTCTTTGCAGCACAGAGATGCACGGTGCAAAGAGTTCCTGCCATTTGTATTAGAATTCGAGCCCCATTATTGGCTTGTGTTAAAATATTCCCACGTGGGGGGTAACGGTTGGCTTTTTTCCCCGTATAAAAGGCTTGGGTGGTTTCCGCCCAAGTTGGAGAACTCCGAGGAGAACCCCGCAAGGGAGGACTCCATGAACATCAGGAGGAGGAGACTTCACGTCTCGTGAAGATCTCTAAGCGCTGCAGAGCCTATTGGACCCAGCGTATTCAAAGAAGGCAAGGGGGGTCTGATCAGCCTCTAGCCTCTCCCCGTCACCGAGCGCAATCCTCGACATATCCCTCTTCCCTGCGTGCAAAAGGATCCACGGAGCCTTGACAACTCTGTGGGAGTGATCAGAGTACAGTCTGAGTCCTCAAACTGGGGATTTAAGCGGAGCTTTGCCTGGGAAACTGTCCAGCCTACACCGTGACCATCTACGGTGTAAGTAAACAATCTTGAATCAACCATTACGAGTCTGTGCCCGATTCTAGTGTGTCGCCTGCTTTCTCCGACCCAGCGTGCCCGGGTTGCTGGCCACAGCCCGCGGCACGAAAAAGGGCCCGGATCGCTCCCGGCCCACACAATAATAAAAAACAATTACATCCTACTACGTCCACAAGACATCCTATGGTAAATAACCAGTTTAAGTTAGAAGTAACCATAAAGGAGAGTTTGAAATGTTTAGCAAATCTGCCTGATAGCTGTTACCAACATTCCAGGTACATATTTATAAAAAATAGTTGAACTTCTTTTGATCACTGCCATTTGCCTCTCCTATGCAGTTCCATTCTAAGGTTCTCCTTTTAGGTGCTTATAACAAGCATTTTTGTGTTTTACAATAGGCATAGACAAAAAGTGAGAAAAGCACAGAGATTTCTCCTGTAATAAAAGAATCCACAAATTAACAGGGGAGGAGAGGAGAGGTGGAAGAAATCACTGAGAGATTCGGCCAGCACACCTCTGTCCCAGTATTCTCAAATTCAAGTCATTGCTTATGTTTGGCCTCACTACCTGAGGTTGTGTGCAGTTTCTCATACTGTTTTGTTCAGAAAAAACATGAAGATGGATATAAAAAATTGTAAAGACTCATTTGATTCCATTTCAGTCTGAAAAAATAGTTTGGGTTCTGGATTTTTGCTTTAGCAAATAAAAATTATCCTAACACAGTCAGAATTATTTTCTTTATATCTGAATGACTGAGTCCGTTTTGAATTTGGGGGTTTTTTACCCCCTTTTTCTTTCTTCTTTTTTTTCATGTAAAATGTAGCCATACCTTTGTTGCAAGGATTTTGTCTGCCACAAGGAATTCTGTTTATTGTCACATAATAACCATCATCCGTGAGAACGTCATACTCCTCACTGGGATATCCTCTGCAGCAGATCATTTGACTCTGACAAAAGAAAAATAATATCAAAGATTGTTTATCTTGGATTTTTCCCTTATCTGGAGCATAGAAATGGAGGCTTCTTATTAGGCAATGTTAGAGTGCATTTCAGATTTCAATTAAGACACAAAACAAAGCACGTAGTAGTGATACCATTAGCATCTGTCCAAAACAATTATGCATGTGTCTACACGTGTGCTTTAATGAGCATTACCCTACTTTAATGAGCGCTAAATCATCACAAAGGGTGTTTATAGATGTGCTCTGGGAGGCAAAGGGAGGAGGCACTTTAATTAGCACAGCTTTAAGAGCCACACTAATTAAAAGCACCTGTAGTATCACGTGTATCAGCATCCCCACACTGAAAAATGGTGCTAGGGCACTTTGAACTAAAGCTCATCCTACAAGCTTTAGTTTAAAGCACCCGGTCACTATTTTTCAGTGCAGGGGCACTGATACACATGATGCAGGAGGCTGCTGGAGCACAGTAATTACCAAAGGAGCAGACTAGATTAATCAAGTCTACTCCGATGCACTGTAATTACAGTGTGTCTGAGAAGCCTCCCTGCACATGTATAGGAGCCCAAACTGAACTTTTGCTAATGCACATTAAAATAGGCTAATGTGCCTTTTTCTAGGACCTCACAAAGAAAGGCATTTATATACATACTTTTTTTTTCTACCACCGTGTCAGATATCTGCCGCTTCAGAGCAGACTCAATTAATCTAGTCTGCTCCTTTGGTAATGCACATTAAATTTGGTATCTCTGGGCATTTATACACATGTATGTGTCACAGCACTGGGTACTTTGAAAAGCACCTGGCGCTGACACACATGCAGTTGTATAAGTGGCGAAATGGGCATCAGCACTCAGAAAATGGTGGCAGCGCACTTTTGAACTAAAACACCTTGGAGGTACTTTAGTTCAAAAGCTCACCACTGCCATTTTCTGTGCCGAATCTGCTCTGCACATGTGGTGAGGCAAACTGCACTCACTGTGTGCAGTTGTAAAAGCAGCAAAATGTGTGTCAGTGCACAGAAAATGGCAGTGGTCCGCTTTTGAGCTAAAGCACTTCCAAGGTGTTTTAGTTCAAAAGCATTCCACCACCATTTTCTCAGTGCTGATGCCTGTTTCATCAGTTATACAACTGCATGTGTCACAGCACCAGGTGCTTTTCAAAGCACCTGGTGCTGTGACGTATACATGTGTAAAAATGCCCAGATGTACTACATTTAACGTGCATTGCCAAAAGTACATTAATGAACATGTAGACTTGCCCAGAGCTTGTGAGAAATCCAGCCCAGTTCTCTAAATAAGGAAATATCAAGCCATTGAAAATTATTTGACTGTTTTAAATTTCCCAACATAAAATGGAAAAAATCTCCCTGTTCTCCCTTCAAAATTTTAAATGTGCTGGCATTAATCAGAAGGGAATAAAAATTCAGGAATCTATTATTTGGGGAAAAATAAGTCATTGGAATTATAATACTAGAAATTCACAAAAAAAAATTAAACAGCTTAGATGCAAAGATATGGTCAAGGAATAAAAAAGTGAAAAAATGTAATAGATGGGAATGAAAATGCTGAACTTATATAGAAAGGAAGGTAAGCAAAAGGGAAGGGAGATAACTCTCTGCCCCAAAAGAATATACACACTTCATTTCGGTATGTGAAGTATGAGTTTGTCCAGTACAGTGAAAAACGCTCGCTTTGGACCTTTCAGAACCAGAAAACTGTAAACAGTAGAGTCTGCTGACACATGAGAAGCATAAGTAAAGCTGACATATTTAGTCTCCCTCAAGGTCAATTTTCAGCAGCAGACAGATTGTAAGTGCATCTGAACCGAAACAAAGAAAGTGAAATCCATATTGCTTAACCTGAGGAGCCTTAGCTGATTTTAAATCCCAGAGGCATAAGGAAGCCAAAACAGAACTTGTGTCATTTCATCATACCTACTGCTCGTGCCTTCTGTCAGCTCAGCATTTCACCAAGCCATAAACAATTAGTTTTTTTAGGGGCATTCTGTGAAAGTAAAATCAAACCAAATAGTGATTCCAACTAGATAAATTAGGTATGTTGTATATAAAGTATGTGTAGCTGCCATCATCACAGACCAAACATTATTATGAAGCTTATAAGCAGAGTGTAACCTACCCCAAATAAGTATTTTTGTTGCTTATGCAGCCTTTTCTTCCATACTACACACACCCTTCCTTTGCTCCTTCAGTCCCTCCTTTAAACCCATTCTCTTTGCAAAGTTTCTATATTTTATCATCATATTGAAACAGCTTGAAGTTTGTTCCCTTACTTATGCACTACATTTTCCTAACAATTCTTTTTCCTAATAATTCTTCTTCAAGGAAGAAGGAATCACTGCCCAAAAGGTTGTTAAAAAAAGTGTTTGACAAACAATTTGTGAGTTTGTTATTCCTGGAGACATAAAGGAGAGACACTTTAGACATCTAAAACAGCCCTTGGATCCCAGGCACAGATTCTGGAAAGTGCACCTCTGAATCCCAGCTGATTGTACCACTTCACTGGCAAGTAGGCAGTCCAGAGCCAGCAGGAGAAGGGGTGGGCAGGAAATTGGGAAGAGTGGGCCAGGGGCACTGGCCAGCCCCTTGCAAAGAAATGAAGTTCTGTTTTCCTCTCTCTCCTCATTCTGACCCCAAACCACATAAAGGATGGTTTCTTCTCCTGGCAGACTGCCATCCTGGGGTGTTTGCTCAGGAACTATTCAAAAGTCTCATATCAACTTGTCTGCTCAGAAAGTAGAAGGTGCTAGTCTCACTTCAAGGTGGTTGCATTTGGATGTCCAGCCTTCTGATCTGGGCCAGCTGCTGCAAAATCTCCTCCTCCAGAGATACCCAAGCCTTCTAAAGGACATGTGGAAGTGATGCTTCATAACCACCAATCACCATCTGCAGCAAGACATGTACCCCTGCCTCCTGTCCAATCCAGAGTTCTTCCAAAACACCCTGTGCTAACCCCAGTCCTTACCTACCCATAGCTTAGCATACCACCCACCAGTCTAGTTCTAGTTCTGCCCTCCAGCCCTGAAGGAAGTACTCCCTGGGGTTCCTGGCAGGGTAGTTTTGTGTTCTCCCAACACCTGGAGTAGACACATGGGCAGAAATGAAGCGCCAGTCACATATACAGCCCTGGCAGTGGGCAGCTGCAACCCAAAAGGTTGATCTGTCCACAAGTGAAATCTGGGTATGGGAAAAATCAGGGCAAGAGAAGAGGGAAGAGCACACCTACACATGCAGGCCTTCCAGACAAAAAAGGGATAGAGACAGGTTTAAGAGAGAACACAAGGTGCCACCACATACAGCAACAGAAACACCACAAGAGGTTGCCCTCACAGGCACTTGAGTGTCATATAGGTGCTTGGGTGCACATAATCATCTGTCTCCTGACAAAACAAGCTATGGAACTGACTAAACTGTTTTATTACAGTTTTGATATCTAGAAGTCTAGGCTGGGAACTTTGTCTCCTAAACTTATTTCTTTGACTCACTTGTCTGGTGTCAGGTGCCTAATTATTAGGTGTTGGGGGCATGACATGTACATCTCTGGATTTTACCCTCACTCATGGGAGCAAAAGGGGAACAAACTGGTTCTAGCAGAGGAAAAAGGAATACAGAATTTTCTATTTCCATGAAAAAGTACATATAAAATGCGTAAAATGTATGTAAGCGATATCCTCATAACTCTACTTAGTAGCACTTCCCCTGACCTATGTCCCTAACAAAAGTAATTAGGTATGGCCCACTAGGGAGAGCAAACTAAAAATACAGTAAGTGCAGCTACATGGGGAAATGGAGGCAGAAACCTCCTAATGAAGTTACACATTATATTATTAGTAGAGACGTACCCGAGCCAAAATCATAGTTTGTTTTCTCCTCTCAACAACATCCCACGCACACATTTGGGAGTGGTATGTTAAATCAGACCTAAGTTCAGATCCAGTGTCAGCAGATGTGGTACCTTCTGTGCAACTTGAATGGATCTCTCCACACCCCAGAGCTAGATAGTTATAAACTTTGAATGTTTGAAATGCATTTTGAGCTCATTTATCTCAAATTATTCTGTTCTGTGATTTCAACCATTTCACTAGTACTTAACTTACAACATTCATGAATGTTTCTGGATTCACATCTCTCTTCCTCCGAATCAGTTCTTCTGAGCTGGGAGATGCTTGTATCAGAAATGCTACTGCAATGAAGAGCCACATTTTGTATCTGTGTAAAACAGTGCATCTATTAATAAAGTTGCCATGAACACACACCCTAACTTTATGACTTTTATACCAGCTCTTTTATGTATTGAAAGAATATAAAATATAAGCTGGAAAGGGGAATCCCCATGATAGCTTGCCTATTCTTATCATAAGGGTGTGATGGAATTCAAAGGGGAGTAATCCTACTATCAGCTTACATCACAATTATCATATTCAACGTATTGAACAAATCCATCTTCCACTTTACTCCATGAAAAGTGGAAATAGGATCAGGTCCTTTGTGAAAAACTTTGATTACACATTTAATACAACAAGTAGTTTAAATGTTCTATATCCCCTCCCAAGTAATAATGTTAGAATATTGCATTTTCTTAAATATGAAAAGGTAGTGAAATTAAGGAAAACCACGCTGAGGAATGTATTCATTCAGGTTAGATTATGACTGTGTGGTAAGGCAAAAAGCCAAAGCCAGAACAATATTATTATACTGGACCTTGTAGAAACAATGTGGGAAGATACAGTCCATCCCTCAGAGTTTACAATCCAATGAACTACTCCAAACCACTATTTCCAGAATGAAACATTTCTCAAACCAATTCTTTTTCTTTTAGTGAAATCTGTCAAGAAAACTTAGGAACTCTTCTAACTGTTTTACCCATCTCCTGAGAGATGAGAAATCTCATCTCCTGAGGGAAGACTAATTGCCTGTTTAGGCAGCCTTTAAAACAGTCCTACATTTGGTTGCTTCACTCTATTGAGGAATTAACCACAAAACTTCACAAAAGTAACAAAGGTATAATTAACCAGAGGTAGATTAGTGGCACGTCAACAAATGTTAAGTGATTGAAAGTGAGGTTGAATTAGAAACAGCATAGAAACCTAAGAACTTGATGATTTAAACATTTTGTGATTAACTACATTATTGTTAAAGAAGTTATATTATTCAACACGTCTGTATGTTTTGAATATTCCTAATTTATGGTACACAGCAAATATTTTTCATTGTTTTTAAAAGTCTTAATCTATGAAAAAATTAGATAGACCCTTATGAGACTGACTTTCTAGTTTTCCAACTTTCCTTCCCCACAGAATACATAGGCTAGAGAAGTTGCCAACCTTTTGTATATCTTCAGAGGAATGTTACAAGCATGTACAATCACTTCACCTTTGTAACTAGCAAAATTATTCATGACTTTAACCTATACCAAGTTACAAGTAAATAGTGTATTGGCTTGCCCCTGGAAAAATACCTAAAAAAGAAATCTTACTTATGGTAGGAAAAGCTATTACCAACCAGAATCCGTTCACTGTCTCAGGCTGGATTAGGAGGCTTGATGTGTGGCAGTTCTACTGTCAATGGTGTTATGAGAAGCAGTGTGACACAGGTCTATGGCACTCTATTATATGCAATACAATTAAAGGAGGTGCATACCGATAACATCGTTGATACCTTCCTTTCCTCATCCTCACATAGATTACTTTCAAGGGAACACCCATTGCAGTATTATTAACAGGAATTTCAGCAATGATTTAAAAGACGTGCATATTGTGACATTTGTCGTTAAGTTTGCTACAATGTTTTCACTTTAAAGGGTCATGTCCTTGTCCACCAACCAAAGGAGGACAATCTGCTGCTACATTTTTAAAGAACCTGGCTCCATTTGCAATTTCCTATTCCTTTGTGGTACTGTGTTCTGTTAAGGAACCAGATAAGATTGCCTGTTGTGTGGGCTGTGAGAGTTGTAGAATAGTTACTTTCGTGGTCCAAGTCAGTCATTGCACATTTATCCAAGGACATGCACAGGACAGCCATGAACCAGGTATGGGTCCTATGAGTAATATTTTGTGATCATACATTAAATTGCCTTGTAGTATATACGTATGTTAGGATAGATTTAAAGTAGCACAGAAAACTTTAACCTAAAAATTTTCTGATCATAAACGATAAAACTTAAAACTTCAAAGTTTCTTGAATGCCATTTTTGTATGGAATTAACAGGAGCTTTGCAAAAATTAGTTAAATGAAGGCATTAGCTTAGCTACTTCTATAGTTCCACTGATGTACTGTAGAATAGATAAACATACCCATGGCCCTGCTGTGTGACTGAAACTGTATTATTGCTTAATGAATTAATATTTTCTCACTGTCCTTCATATGAAAACAAGAAACACTATCTCTTACTTCAGTAACAGCCAAAGGTACTAATCTTTAAGTAAATTATATTTCCACTAAATGTTATGCTACCAAATTAAATGTTGCCTATATGCAAATGAGTTTGATAATCTCTTTTCACATTTGCATGACATAATTATAATGTTATGTACAACACGAGTTGAAGTTTTCTCATACCCATGTAAATGGTATTAATAACATTGTTTTTATTGGTCTGTCATCATCGTCTTCAGTCTGAGCTACCGGGAATGTTAGAGTTTCACCCATCTTATTTGCTATATTCCTCTACTTGGAAGACGACAAAGGTGCTTTTGTAAATCTCTTCCCACTACAAAAATCCCACTGTATTAACCATAAGCGATAAGCTAAAATATCAGTTACCGTGACACTTTGCAAGAATAAAACTAGAACTTTCCACTGTCTTTAAAGCAGATAGAAAAATGACACTAACCAGGACCAAATCAAATTTGCTTTACCTTTCATTTACAGATCATGTTTCTTTGAGCGCAGACCTAGCCACATACAGGTGAATTTAAATGGCATCTGTGTAAAAATTATTATTCATTGTGTAAATAAGAATTTCAACAAATATCAGGGCATTGGGCCTGTAGGGCTGTTTTCTGCAGTGTCTTCAGTGGAGATCCACAGGTGCTAATGAGAGCACTGTTTATCCCACAGATATTCTCAGATTGCAAAAAGCTGATTACATACACCCATGATGGCACTCTTAGTTCATCCAGGAAAACGATTCTTTTAAAAATACAGTTTAAACAGAGAATAATTGTCCTTGTTAATTACCTTGTTAATGATGACACTAAGGGCTATACTATGAAGTCTTGTCTGTAAATAAATGGTAACATTAATTTTCTTTAATTATGATCTCATGTGTTTGCATTTGCTGAACACAGAAACTAGAGCAATTTAAATTTTCCTATGCAAAGGCTAATGGAAATCCATTTTCAGCGCATCTGTGAGAGGACACAAATTGGTTAATTTTCCATGGGTTAGATACACCGTAAGAAATGCTCTCACCAACTCCCAGACAAAGCTCTAACCATACGAGCACACCTTTCACAGCCTTCTGAAAATGACAAAACACAACAGTGCATGCATGCAAAGACAATGATACAAAATTACAACCCAAGGAACACCAAGCAATTGATATAATTTATATATGGAATGTGACACTGCTTAAAACTCAGTATAGTTTGGTTACTACATACAGGGTTTAGCGATTGCTTTGTATTAATCTGAGAAAAAATTAAGTATTTCAAATAAAATTAGTTTTCCCCCAGCCAATGTACCACAGAGTGGTGTTATCAGGAAATTAGTTTTCACCCAGCCAATGTACCACAGAGTGGTGTTATCACGTGTATAAGTCCACCCAGTCAACATACCATAGAGCAGCCTAATCACGTGTATGAGGGCACCTAGGAAACATGCCACAGAGCATCCTAATCACATGTATAAATGCACCCAGTCAACATACCACAGAGCAGCCTAATCACGTGTACAAGTGCACCCAGTCAACATACCACAGAGTAGCCTTATTATGTGCATAACTATACAACTGTCAAAATACATCAATGTTGGCATCAGTTACACACAGAATAAATAGGAAACATAATTATGCACTGTATAAATTAATTTGGATAACAACTTAGGTACTGGCTAGTGACATTCATGTCTGAAGGAATGAGTCACAGTCATTTACCTCTGGAAAAAAAACAGTATTGTTCAAAAATACTTGTATACCTATTTCAAAAGGATCAGACTCTGCTCTGGATTTTCTGAGAAGCTGTTGATATTAGGGCTGCTTCTCTTTCCTGAGAAGTCAGCCTGGGAAGACAGTTTAAACTAAATTAAGGCATCCATTGGGTGACCTGGCTATGGTTCCTCCCGCTACCCACTTCTGAGGCAGTGGAGGGCAGCCCAGGGACTCTAGGCCACTGGTGTTGATGTTATGGATTCCCTTGCACAGCCATCCTTTCCCACACTGGGGCAAGAGCATTTTTATACATGACTATTTGTTATAAGCAAGCTGGCCACCACCAAGTGGTGAGACACTGTAATAAGGCCTCCTGCCTGTAGCTGGTTAATCTGTCCTCTCCAGTTCTGGTGTAATTTAATTAATGAACAAAATTGATATAGAGTGCACTGGTTCAAACTTTCAGAAATATTAGTTGTAGCTGTGTTGGTCTAAGGGTATAGGCAGACAAGACTTTTGGGATAGAGGTCATATCTTTTATTAGACCAACTTAATAGTTGTCAACAACAAAAATTTGTAAGCTTTCGGGCTCACACACCCTTCAGCAGGCAAAGGAGACATCAAAGATGGCAATAGTTTTCCCAGGTAGAATAGAAACTTTCTTTTCTCCCCAGGAGAACTCTTGTCATCTTAGATGTCTCCTTTGCCTAATGAAGTTCATTTCTTTCAAAGAAAAAAAAATTGCAACTATTTAGTTGGTCTAATAAAAGATGTCACCTCTGCCTCAAGAGTTTTGTCTTCCTGGTGCAATTGTGCCATTTAGTCAGGTCCTCAATTCTTCAAAGGGATGCTAAGAGAGATGAGACATGGACACATGCCATTAATACCAGTGTAATTGTCGTTTGCATCAGAGTAAACTGGGAGCAAAAAGACAACATACTGCTCTGCACCATTATGCAGTACTGTATTACTGTATTACTTCAATCAGTTGTAGAATCACTCTAGGGAAAAATCAGAGGTAACGCTAATGTAAGCTTCTGGCCTGCCGCTATATGGGGATAACTGCTTGTGATCAGACAGTATTTTTTGGACTTTTTTAGACTCCAGGCACCC